TATCCCTCATCGCCGCCGCCTGAGCAGTGTTTGTTGGCCTAGGCATGCTGGCCCAAAATCCGCCACCGGTTGCTGGCGTTGCCGACCGCGACACCATTAACGGCCGGTCCATCCTATCGTTTGTGATGATTCGCAGCATCGACCCCAGTCCTCTAATGCTGACAGCTGATAGCGACGGTATAAGTCCAGGCCGCTCTGCCGGGATAGGAGCTAGCGACCTAATGGACTGCATGCTGATGGCCCACTCGACAGCCTCATCCAGCGGCACGGCGGTAACGGCGGCAACCTGCGCACTGGCGTCATGACTAGCTCTGCGCGGCAAGACCTCTGAATCTAATAGGCTGGAGCGTCGTACGACGCCGCCAGGGCCGACAAGCGGCCGCGGTACGTGAAAAGAACCCACAGACGGTCTTGAACTTGCTAGGCGAAAGCCAAAACCGGCGCCTACTGATCCAGTGCTGGCGGCAGACGGCAGACCAGAGTCCATACCGCTATTAGCACTAGCGTCGGCGCTTTTGCCAATGTGCGTTTTGACCTGCACCATCAAGACGTTCTACAGTGGGGCATGCGGGGGAGGGAGGTCGGTCAGAATGGCTGTCTGAAAATAAAATATCCGTTGTACTGGTCCCAAATACCCGCAGTTTTTCTTACCATCTTGGTCTGCAAGTTTGCGAGGATTGCATGCTGTGCTCTGAGTTGGTCGTTGAATGCAATGAGCTGTTTGAGACAGTCGTCGATTGACGCGGCCATTAAGGGCGGTAGGTGCAGCCGTGGGGTGGTGCCGCTCGTGTGCGCGGAGGAGTCAGGTGGTTGCGATGAAGTTGTTGACAGCGTGGGCTCGCTATGCCGTTTGCCTTTGTCGCTCTCTGGCGACGGTGTTATAAGCGGCGGCGGCAGCATTACGCACGGGCCATGCACTCTATCGGCAGCAATGGGGAGGCTCTGTTGTGTCTCTCCTTTTTTGGGCAGCCCCGACTCATGCATACCGAACTCTGTCGAGATTTGAGCCGACAGCCTGGTCGGAGCGCGCCGTGTCCTAGATCTAGGATGCATTCAGGAGCGACTTTCGAGTCTCCGACCCCCGGGCCCAACAACGACAGACAACCAACCAACCATCCCATGGCCGACGCTCCAATAACGACAGCAACTGCTGCTGCTGTTCCTGCTGCTGCTGCATCACCGCCAGGCGCTGCTTCAAGTGCATTGCTAGAGCAGTTCACAAACAACCCTTACTTCTCCGCTGGGTAAACTTGGACAGTTTTCACCGGCCTACTTGCAACACCACAACGCGCTCAACAACGTGTGTTCTTCCTTGACTTGTATCCAGCTTCGGCCTCATCGGCGTAACAGCCGGTCTCGCTGTGCTCAAGCAGGGCGCTGTGCACGGCGTGACTTTTGCTCGCCGCCGGTTGCTCGTCACGCTAGAAATCCCCAGCAAAGACCAGAGCTACGCCTGGTTCCTGCAGTGGATGAGTGCACAGGGCGCGCGGAGAAACGCGCATCAGCTTGCCGTCGAGACGAGCTTTGTGCGTCGCGACAATGGCAGCGTTCAAAGCAACTTTTCGCTGGTCCCAGGCCCGGGCAGGCACTACATACGGTACGACGGCGCCTGGTTTCAGGTGCGGAAAACAATCTCGCAACGAACGAGAAAAATAGGGAGCAGCCTTCTCGGAGCAAATGATCTAAAGCCCTCGCTCCTTCGGTATCATTAGGTCGAGCGGCAACGCGAACGCAACATGATTGATCTGAAAAGCGGCACGCCATGGGAGACAATCACTCTCACCACTCTGTCCCGCGACCGCCAGCTCTTTGCCAAAATGCTCGAAGCCGCAAAGGGCGCCGCGCTCGCAAAGGAAGAAGGCAAAACCGTTGTCTACACCAGCTACGGACCCGAATGGCGGCCATTTGGAAACCCACGCAAACGCCGTCCCGTTGCGTCGGTCGTGCTCAGTGGCGGCATCGCCGAGGATATCGTTGCAGATGTTCGCGCGTTTTTGACGGGCGGCAAATGGTATCATGACCGCGGGATTCCGTACCGAAGGGGATATTTGCTCTATGGTCCGCCGGGTAGCGGGAAGACTAGCTTTATCCAGGCGCTCGCTGGCGAGCTCGAGTATAATATCTGTGTCATGAATCTGAGTGAAAGGGGAATGACGGATGATAGGTTGAGCCATTTGCTCAACCATGCGCCGCCAAGAAGCATCATTCTGCTCGAAGATGTGGACGCTGCATTCATCAACCGCGCGCAGACTGACAAGCAAGGGTGCGTCTAGTCTATTGTCTGGTCACCACTGTCATGCAAGCAAACTTATCGTTTTCCTTTCTCTTTCAGCTTCCAATCAATGGTAACCTTCAGCGGTCTCCTCAATTCACTCGACGGCGTTACCTCCTCCGAAGAGCGCATCATCTTCATGACCACCAACCACGTGTCTCGCCTCGACCCGGCACTGATCCGCCCGGGACGCGTGGACGTCAAGGTCCTCCTCGACGACGCAAATGCCGACCAGGCACGGCAGATGTTTTTGCGGTTTTTTGTTGGCGAGACAAAGCTGGCGGATGAGTTTGTGCAAGCGGTGGATTTCGCGACTAACCGTGTCAGCCCGGCGCAGTTGCAGGGTCATTTTGTGGTACATAGGGATAGTGCCCGTGCGGCAGTAGATAATGCGCGGAATCTTGTTTTTGCAGGCGGCAGAGAAGGTGGAGGAGACACGAAGGAATTATAAGCATAGTTACAGTTTAGTATTCATAAATTATCATCTGTTTCCACCAAAGAGAGGGCGTGTATTGTTTTGTGATCGCGCTTTTTACTACACGGCGTATCGGCTGGTATATACCGTCCCGCCGCCGTCTGCAGGTGCTTCTTTCGACGTTCGCGCAAACTTGAGCAAGATCGCATCCAACTTCTTTTCCGTCGGCGCAAGATCGTCAACTGGCGCGGATGAGACGTAACAAAACACATTAAGAGCTGTTAGGAAAACCCGAAAAACAAAAACGGAGCCTTTCAAAAAGCACACGCAGAGCAATGACTCACTATATGGCAACATCTCATCCCGTTTCCATCGCCGGCGCATGCGAAACAGCGCATCAAAGCGCGGCTTGGCGTCTGCCGGGAGCGCGCGTTTTGGGTAGTAGATGATGGAAGGCGTTGGTGTTGTAGTGTCGGTGAGGAGGTACAGGCCGGCGATGTGGGCAAGGGCGACCGACGGCGGGGAGGTAGGGAGGGACAGTGGTGGTGGGAGCGCAGATGACCAGGTGGTGAGGAAATTCGATAGCGGGGTCTTGCGCGACTGTGCAGAAAGCAAATCAGGTGGAGAACGGAGAGTTAGGAAAATGAATGAGCTTGGATGGGCTTTGCAAATGTCTCGTTCCTTACCTCGGCATTCTGCAACAACGCTTCTCCAAAAAATCTCGCAATCTTTCCCTCATTTATCGCTCGCCTTCCGTCCAGCTTGCTATCCCAAAACTGGTCCAAAATCCCGCGCACAACCGTTTCCGGCACCTCATCCGCCTCTCCCGCCATCGCAGAAATGCAATCTTCTACATCCAAGTCGCGCACATCCAAATCCTCCGCAGCACAAGACGCGAGGAGCAGACGGAGCGAAGTGGCGAGGTAATTTGGGGCAAGGATGCGGTAGGAGGAGGATATGCAGATTGCACCCAGGTGGGTCAGCGCGTTGGCGAGTTCGGTAGTTGAGCATTGAACGAGGGTTTGTAAATCGGCAAGGGTATACGTCTTTCGCTGAGGCTCGTTCGAGCGAAGCTGATCGTAAAGAAGAGCGAGAATCAGGTCACCGCTTATGAGGGTAAGCGGGTTCGCTTAATACATGGTGAAACGCACCCTTTTGCTCCTCTCGCGTTCTTCCTCCACCGGGCCATCATAAAGAGCCTGCTCCAGCAGCTCACGCAGCTTATCGACCCGCGGGCGAGTCGATACCAACTCCATATATCCAGACATACATGCGTCGACACTGTAACCCTTGGCCTGCTGCCGCGTCAGCAAGGTTGTATTTGATGTTTGCACTTCCCGAATAGCGTATGTGGCATCGCGGGTGCATAGCACGGCTTCATCGTTGGGGAGGCCACGAATGACAAGGCTGGGCGGGGAACATGTTATACAAATGTTCATTATTTTCGGTCGGTGGTGCGCTGAGCGAACGCTTGGTTCTGAGACTCACAGCGGAGAGGGGTCGGCGTTCACAGCAGAACGCTGCTGTTTGGGAGACGAGGCCGGCGTGGAGGCATACAGTGCAGCGACTTCGGCTGGCAGCTCCAGAAGGAAGAAGCGGTCGGCGTTTGCATTGAGGTCTGGGGAAAACACAATGTCGGACATGCTGGGCAAAGAATTCTCAGCGTAAAAAAGCTGACGCGCCTGAGCACATCCCGAGTCCGCCACATGAGGCTGTCGACATTTGAGAAGCCGACGCAGCTTGAGTGCATCCTCGTGGGAAGTTTGCATTTAGGAGGATTCAAGACGCAGGTCCACTGCTGGAGACCATCATGGACGTCGACCCTCAAACATCCTTCAACGTTTACTCACTAATTGTCACCTCAGGTCCCCGCGAAATCTCTATTTTCGGCCGCTGCACGGCATGCCCTGCCGGTGTTCGAGACAACTCGGTGCAGCGTTGTGAGCAGCTGTAGAATTCGCCCACGGTCAAGACCATACAAGGGGTTTCACATCAACGTAAGTTTGGTCTTCTCTTAAGACTGGGATTTGATCTGATAAGCAACGAAAACAAAGTGGAGTATGTGCATGCGATCACACCTGTTCAGCTGTGTGCTGGGCGAAACGATTATGGACTGGAAAGTAAGGACCGAAATCTTCGATCAAAGATTATCAATGACAATCGATGCTGTTGTTACTTCATTTAGACGACCTTAATAAATAACACATCACATACCTGTCTCTTTTGAATGCTTGCACAAAGGGGAATCATATTATTGGCATATCACATTAAAATTAGTAACAAGTAATAACTTGGGTGCGTTAGCAATATCAATCCCTCGTGGTCCAACGGTTAGGATTTCACGCTTTCACCGTGACGGCCAGGGTTCGACTCCCTGCGGGGGAGATTTTGAGGTCACGGCCTTTCTTTTTTGTTTTTGTAGACAGATCCAGGGCAACATTTTGGTTGTAATATGTTTATTGACACAGAAGGCCGTGTGTGAATGCCGGCTGCTAAGGAAAGGGAAGGTCGAGATGGGGAACAAAACAAGCGGGTTGGGGGGTGCAGTCAGTCGCTGCAGTCGGAGTGGGTCGGTCGCCTTGGAGGTTTCCTTGTGCTGCTTGTCCGTGTCGACACCGTCCCCTGCCTCGCTGCCCTGCCACCGCTTCGCCCCCCTTTCCCTTCCACTCGCATGGGCAGATTCTCAGGGATTGCCCGCCTCTCCCCAACTATCGTCGTGGCGCGCTCGCAGTCCGACCAGCCTTACTCGTCGTCATACTGCTGTTACTATTCACTGTGACGGCCAGCCCAAATGCCATTCTACGCGGTAGTGAGGGGCCGGCAGGTAAAGAAACGGCGGGCGATAGCAGGGAACAGGGCTTTACTCGCAGTCACTTTTCAGTTTCTTGTTTATTTGCCTTTGTTGGTCGCTAACTTTTAATGTTTTGTTGTTTCTTTTTGGTATGTGCGTTCGCCAGCCGGGTATATACGAGTCATGGCCCGAAACCAAAGCCCAGGTCGACGGGTTTAGAGGATCGATGCAAAAGAAGTTTCCGACAAAAGGCGATGCGCAGGCGTTTATGGATCAACACAGTCCTGGCTGGCGCGCGAGCGGCGCGGGTAGGGCAGCGCTAGGGAGTGATGGAAGTGCTGGCGGCGGTAGCGCTGCGGCAACGCCGCTGGGCGCAGCGGACGATATGGTGTTAGTGTCCCGCGAGGAGCTCCGCAGGCTAGACCAGCTTGCAGCCACCGCGCGAGCAAAACGCAGTGCTCGCTCTCCGTCGCCACCATCACCACCGCCGCGAGTGAACCCACTTGACGGCGACCGCGGCCGCGCAAAGCCACATACGACCGGAGCGCCGTCTGTCAATCCTAACAAGCGGCGGAGGTCTGCATCGCCTGTTCGCGCGGCCAGCCCGGCGGTGCAGATCCCCGGTGGTGGTTACCTCGTCAATGAAGAACTAGACGACTGGGCGCCGTTGCCGGAAGAGGGCGGCGACGTCGAGGAGGAGGCGTTTGATGAAGGTTTCATGGACGATACCGAGCTTATGGCATTTATGGCCAGCTATGACGCCGAAGCAGCAGCGACTAGTAGCAATAACCCTGCCGCCAGCCAACGAAAGTTTTACGTTGTGCTCAGGGGCCGCGCTCCCGGAATTTACGACACATTCAACGAAGCTCAAGCGCAGGTCACCGGGCAGTACACCATCCAACCCAAAGGCTTCACCACCCGCGAAGCAGCCGAAGCCTACCTGGCCGCATACAATGCGCGCAACTCGCCGAGCACCTCTGACCCAGACCCGCAAAACTCATCAACGCTGGTTGCGTTCACCGACGGCAGCGCGCTCGGCAACGGCAAGCAAGGGTGTCGCGCGGGCTGGGCAGTTGTGTTCCCGCACAACGAGAGCTGGAACTGGGCCGAAAAGATGACGGGCGGCAGGCTGACAAACAATGCGGCAGAGTACCTTGCCGCACACGCGGCAATCAAACGCGCAAACGACGAAGACCCCGCGCGTGCGAAACCACTGTATATATTTTCCGACTCCATGCTGCTGATTAACACTATGCAGATGTGGGTCGATGCGTGGAGAAAGAACAAGTGGAAGAAGCGCGACGGCACGCCCGTGATGAACGCGCCGCTATTGCAAAACATTTTGGCTGCACAAGGATCGCGCCGGGTTTTGTGGCGGCATGTAAAAGCACATTCGGGACGAAAAGACTGGCACAGCGTGTGGAACGACAAGGCTGACCGCATGGCTAAAGACGCCGCGTTGGGTCACCCCGGGTCAGTTGGCCCGCCACCGCTGAAAATGCATACGCGGATTGCGAAGTCCGCGTCTAGAGGCCCGGCTGGCCGTGGCCGCGCCGGCACCGGGCGCAGCTACAGCAGGCCAAGTCGAGGTGCTCGTAGTAAATGAACACTCTAAGCCTCCTCTTTGCTGTCGATCGTGCCAACCATAAACCCAACCATCTTTTTGCCGAACCAGCTGTTGTCAACCGCATTGTCCACGCGGGAGAGGACGGTCGAAGCCATATCGGCTGCAAACACATTAGAAGCTTGGCGTGCCCTGTTTTTTGAAAACCATAGATTAGAAAGGGCCCTCATAAAATTATTGCGCACGCGAATAACGTACTTGACAATTTCCGTTACCACTCCAGCCGTAAACTTCAAGGGAGAAGAGAGCCAATAAGTTATATCTTTACTCTCAGAGCCAACTAAAGAAAAAAGGCGGATTTACCTCAGGATGGCCCTGTATTGTCAAATACCGATCCCCACGGACTGCCATCTGGATTGCGCATTTGTCCGTTGAAGCAAGGACTTTGAAGCCGGACGGCAGCACCGAAACATGGTCCTGATGCATCTGGTGCACATTCTGCAGAAGTGAGTCATCTGGCGTTAGGGGCTTGTCAATGAAAATGTACACCCTTTCTCTGTTTCTCGCTTACGTGAACTTTCATGCCTGTTTTAAGAATGGTTTCGCCGAGCGGAGTCAAGGTCGTCGGAGTCCAGCCAACCTCCCACCCTGCCGGATTCTTCACCACTGCGCAACAAGAAGTACGCAGGATCTGCATCAGCTGATTTTCGAGCCCATGCGGCATGTGCCCGGTTTCCACGCGCCTCAAGTCCGCACCTTTGCCGCCCAAAGCTTCGGCTACGATCTGGTGTCCGAAGCATACACCGACTACTTTGGCAGTAGACTCTGCATCCACACGCTGCATGAAGCGCTTAAGCTTGTTGATCCAGTCCAGGTCTTCATATGCCGAGTATTCTATAATGGAAACAAAGCAGAAGCGCGGTGTTCGTCAGAAGGGAAGTCCTTTGCCAGAACAAATGCATTAATGCACCTACTTGAGCCAGTCAACACAAATGCGGAGAAGTTCGAGATATCGTCGGGATACTGCCCCTCGACAACGTTAAACGCCTCAATTTCCAAGTTTACGGGCTTTGTCGATGCCGAGTATGCTGCGGCTCCCTGATTAACAGTCCGGCTATTTAATATCTGGTCTGCTAAGTATCAAAAGTGCTTGCTGTTTCTCCACGCTCACACCTGTCGGAGAAGTTCGCTAAATAGCTTTTCTGAACGGAGTCAAAGGCGAAGGTTGATAAATGAACAGTCACACAGATAGACGAACGCCGAATAGTTCTGGTTCCCTCACCATAGTCGCCGTACTTTTCGACAACCACTGTGCAAGGGGAAGCCGAAGGTGTAGTGCGAGCATTAGCATGTGATCGGAATGCAAAGAAAGCAAATGCGCCGCCCCGGTACCTGGAAGCGGAGTGTCGCAGATGAGGAGAGCGATGCGTAAGCGGATAGCGTAGAGGTGAATGCCCATAATCGAGTGGTTGAGAGAGGGAACAGAGGAAAGCGGGAAGAAATGCTTTAACAACTTGAGCTTGCCAACATTACTCATCCCCTCTCCAAGTGAACTCCCCTCGCTCGCTCGCACACTCCCTGTAGATACCGGTATTCCCTCAGTATGCTCCGCTCGTGCTCGTCGTCTGCCCGTCCGCGCCTGTTCCGGCCCTTTGCTGCTGGTAAGCGTGACATTTGGTTGTTCAGTGAAACCCTGTAGAGCGGAGTTAACACCATCTATTTGTCTCATCTCTGTTTCCTCAACAGCTCACTGCAAGCCGCAACCGTTCCGCCCAACTGCATCTGCTGCATCAACGGCCCTGCCATCCATCTTTTCACAATCCGCCACCGCCTCATGTCTGCTTGTGCAAAACCCCGCTCTCTCGCGGGCGATGTCTACCGGCCCACGCGCCGCTCTACCCGAGATGGGCGCCGAGGTAGCAGCCGGCGACGAGGATTTTGAAAGGATATTAGCCGCCGCTGGCAATTCGCCGGTTGTTGTGGACTTCTACGCCAAGTATGTTCTGACGCAGGGCGAGAGGCGGAATTTTTTGTGGTCTTCAGTGTATTTCAGTTTCTGATATGTTGTGCCCGTTTTTTTTTTTTCCTATAGCTGGTGTGGACCGTGCCGCATCATTGCGCCGGTGCTGAAGAAGGTCGTCAAAGAAAACGCAAAAACCTTCCTGGTCAAAGTCGACGTTGATGCGGCCGAAGACACGGCCGCGAAGTACCAGATTGCGTCGCTGCCCACCGTGGCCATCTTCCGCAACGGCGCAATAGTCGACCAGTTCCTTGGCACCCGCAGCGAGGCCGACATTCGCAAGTTTGTCGAAAAGGCCACTAACGCGGCGTAGTGTAGAGATTCTACCAGAAAAAATAGAATATTCGACATAGTATGTATCTTGAGGAATGCAAGCTTGTGAAAACCAGCATCCTTCGCTTTCCAGCAGTTCGCGTCGGCGTACGGCTCGGTTATGTAGCATAGGAGAGGCGCCCGTTTCCTTCATTCATCTCCGCCGCTTGTTCATTTCAGATCTGTCGGTGTCGTGGGGGCCCATCGAAGTGGTCCGCAGCTACTGAGTTTCCTCAATGGCCAAACATGCTGACAATGGGGCTTCCCCCGGCTTGGAAACCTTTTGCAGGAAATAAAACATTCAGGGTGGGGGGAGGCGCCGCAGACCATCAGCTCGCTATACTGAAGCTCCGCTCCCCTCCCCACCCTCTCTCTCCCTCCCTCTCCCTCTCTCCTGCTCTGCCTCTCTTCTGCATCCTCCCTCCTGCTATCTCTCTCTCGCTGGCGTACATTTCTTTTGTGTCGGTTTTACTCGGGGTGCTTACGCGACACGCGCGCGGCTTTCGTCACGCTCTGTCGGTTTTCCAACGTTTCCCCGCTGGCGAGTTTTTTTTTTGGCATTGCATCCCGGCATCTCTTCTCGGCCGTCGTCTATTCTCTCCGCTCCATTAGCCGCCACCCCGTCTTCTCTGCCGCTTCTGCTGCTTCACTCGTCCGTCATGCCGCCGACTTCCTCGTCAACCTCCCCGGCGCCGGCG